TTTCATTGCTTCACAAAGCCTCGATCTGCCCATCACTAGCTGCGAGAGCCAATGGGTGGAGCTTGACGTCCACATCCCCCTCGTGGACGTAATGGGTGGAGATTAAAGGTCCAGCCACACCCATATAACCCTAGGTCAAGAGATGGGAAGATAGACGTCAAGCTATAATCAGTAGGTGTGTTTATGGGTGTGTTCGACATGAATCGACGCTGCTCAGAGTATCATGATACAGTCATGATTATTATTGCACATTCGAACAGTAATGTCTTAAATATAATACACAGATTGATATTTTAAAATGTGCAATGCACACTAGCTCGGCTACTGTTTAAAAGTTTGGGGTTAGTAGACTATAATTATTTATTTTTGAAGAAGAAATGAATAGCCAACTTTTAGTATAGATTAATTAAATTGATCAACAGTGACAACAATGTTATAAAATATTTCTATTTCAAATAAATACCTACTTTTGAATATATATATATTTTTTTATCAATGATTGAATCCTGAAAAAATGTATCATGGTTTCCTCTAAAACATTAAGCTGCACATTGATAATTTCTACTGATATAATAATAAGAAATGTTACTTGAGCAGCAGCAATTCAGCATTTTATTGATTTCTGAAGGATCACGTGACACTAAAGACTGGAGTAATGCTGAAAATTCAGTTTTGCCATCACAAAATAAATGACAATTTAATTTAAATAGAAAATAATTATTTAAAATTGTAATAATATTTTGCATGTCAGTAATGTTTTTACTGTATTTTAAAGATTTTTAACGTCATTAAACGTTAAAAACATTAACGTCAAAAACATTAACGTCATCGCAGATTGCATTAGTGAATGTAGATGGTGTGTCATTTTACTTTTATTAAACAGGACAGATTTTGTTAAGATATAACCTCTGGCTGACCATTGAAGAATCAGCCCTCTGATGATCACTATTTGTCCTGTGCTGGTTGAAATTGCTTGACTGTCTGTTGACTTCATCTACAGAAACCTTCAATGGTTTCTGTAGATGAAGTCAACAGGCAGTCAAGCAATTTCAACCAGCACAGGACAAATGGCAGAGTCGCCCGTCAGGTAATAGGCCTACATTTTTTTCAAAAGGAAAAAAAAGTATATTTATGTGTAGGCTAATTAGGGTTGCCACCTGTCCCGGTTTTACCGGGATTGTCCTTCTTTTTAATAACCTGTCCCGGGAAATTTACGCACTCTCCCGGGACACTGAATGTCCCGGTTTTCGAAAGGCTACGTGAATATGTATGTTCAAACTGTGTAGCGCGCGCAACGGCAGAGAGCGAGAGACCTTGCGTGTGTGTGCTAGTGTGAGTCGAGTCTGCCTCAAGAAGCGCATAAGAAGCGCATGTAATCTGAGTGTGGAGCGCGCTTGCTGCACGAGGCGCGGGCGCGAGCACTTCCGTTTTTCTATCAACAGTGGAAACAACTTAAAATAGGCCGTAGCGCGCGCAACGGCAGAGAGCGAGAGACCTTGCGTGTGTGTGCTAGTGTGAGTCGAGTCTGCCTCAAGAAGCGCATAAGAAGCGCATGTAATCTGAGTGTGGAGCGCGCTTGCTGCACGAGGCGCGGGCGCGAGCACTTCCGTTTTTCTATCAACAGTGGAAACAACTTAAAATAGGCCTACTACTCTATCATTTCTGGTCATAGAAAATAAACATCATTCGCAACAATACATCATTCGCAACTACTTTTATTTGTGTAAACTCACAATAACAAGAAAACGTTGTGCTTTTGTAAAATAAAATAAAACAATCAGTCGCGCTCTTTTATGGTCTCCGTGAACTGGATCGCGTCTCAAAATAAACAAGCCCATAGGCTAAAGCTTGAAATGTCCACTTTTAAACGAACAAATTCGAATCAAAAGAAAATACAGTCTGATTATGTAATCCATATGAATTTCTTCTCTAAAGGCGCATCTGCTTTACAGCGGAGATGGAGATATGTTGCAGCCGATTTAGAAAATACTAGTTTATTAATAAACAATTAAAATGCCTCGTTACTTTTTCAGAAACATTTATAATAGCCTATAAATCATCTATAGCCTTAGAAATATAGTGTTTGGCCTTAGAAAACCATTTTATCCATATAATTTGTGAATATTTTAAATGCTTATTAAAGGGGCAAAAAAAAAATCATGAACAAAAATCTGAAAATACGCGAATATAGGATATATTTTTGCGCAGCATTTGGTGTATAGGCGGGCCTACAGTTAAAATTTAAATTTTGGTGTTCAACCGTTCATTTTTGGTCTTCAAACACCCCCCCCCCCCCCCCCCCCCCCCCCCCATCCCCCCCCCCCCCCCCCCCCCAGTTGGGCGGGTAATATGTCCCGGTTTTTTATCAGACATAGGTGGCAACCCTAAGGCTAATGCAGCCTTAGGAATCCTCTCAGATGTAGTCGTCAAGCAGTTTCACATAGTAACCTACCGCCCTCTAGTGGTTATATAATTAGTCAACAAAGCCATAGTGTGCTAACCCGTAAAATCGGTAGTTCACAGAAAAATCTGTCATTCACCCACGTCATTCCAAACCTGTATGACTTTCTTCCTTCTGTGGAAAATAAAATATATTTTGAAGAATGTTACTAAATAAATAGTTTGGATTCTCATTTATTTATCATAATTGAATTCCATCGTATTTGTTGCCCATGCAATGGAAGTCAATGTGAACTAACCCTTAACACACACTAAAAGATTTATTCACAAAAACGATAATTCTGTCATTATTTACTCACCCTTGTGAGGTTCCAAATCCATATCTGCATTGAGAATACAAAATAATTATAAAGAAGAATGCCGTCACACATTTTTCCTTGCACACTCAACAACAGCTCTAGTGACATCTATCAAGCTCCAACGTTCATTGGCACCGATTTGTAATAGGCTAATTATTTATTAATTTATTTTACACAAAGAATATCTGGCAAGGCATAGGGGCCTATCTCAATTCATTTTCAGCTTTGTTAAAAATGTAGCCCACTGTTTGAGTTTGTCATTTCTGACAAACAATTTTGTATTTTTATTTTATTTTGCGTGCCATGAATTTTATTCATAAATTCTAAGCGCGGATTGTATTATAGCTAATGACTAAATCAATAATTAACCATAATTTATTTGAAAGCTACTGCAGAGAAGGAAGTTTCGAGTAATTTCTATAATTCTAAAATACATTTTAAAACGTTTGAGAATATTTGTATTTAACCAACATATCAATAAAACAAAATTAGTCTTACAATGTTTGCTAATTGAACGTGTTGACAGCTGTAATCAAACATGAATTGATTAATAAACTGACTCTTTTGATCTTTGTCCTCTAAGATCACACTTTTACGTAATAATATATCCTGCTTAATTTCGGAATAAAGGAGACAGTTTGTCAGAAACACACCAGGAGAACATACATGGATAGTTGCCTTTTCAAACGCGGACGTTTTGCGGAAAGACTCGCGCTAGCCTAGCACCGGCGAACTAAGCAACTGGATGAGGCCCGATGTCCAAAATTCTGAACCACCCTTTAAGTCTACCGTCTCCTTGTGGTTGTTGCCGGTCAGACGTACCCTTCATCTAATGCTAAGATATTTCTCACCTGTTCTTCACTTTCTCAAGTCTAAGGAATCGTGCTGGAGTCTTGTGTGTGTTGGCAGAATGTCTGTAGCTCCTCTGGGCATCAGTTGTGTTGCTGATTGAGCTTCACTTGGGTCCAGCTCAGAGTCCAGCAGTGAAGAGGTCATTATCCGGGGCACAGGACTGGGCTCTTTCTCTCCTGGGATCATTCTATGTCAAGGAGAGTTAGACTGTTCCAGATTACTGCTTTGATTTCATAAAATGTGATTAAACCAAACGGACCAACTGACCTCTAGTTGATGCTTCAAAAAAAGATGCATTTTCAATCAAGAAAAATAATATAATCAAAAAATCAACTCCTTATTTCTCTGCACATTTCTCTGGTAAACTCACATGGACTGCCTGTTGTGAAATTAAATGTTTAGTAGTTAATTGCTGTGGAACAGGAACATTCCTTTACAGTTTAATAACTCACAAAAACTTATGCAACACTTAAGTGTATATTTGTACATCTTAAAACCGTGTGCATGTATTATAAAAAGTTTGTCCACAAAGGACTATCATTGTTAGTCATTGTAAATCAGAGGATTTACCATAATAAGCTTTTAATTGTATGATAAAGAACCATCAAAATAACAAGAACTTGGACAACATTCTGTGTGATTTACACATTTATATTGTTCATTTTAAATGTAACAGACATTTACTTCCCCATTTTTTTTTACTAAAGGTTCCTGACTTTAAGAAACAGCATTAGCTCTGTACTCATACCTGTAAAGTGATCTGTTCCTACTTCCTTCAGACTTTCAAAACCAAAGGATTTTTTGGAGATGCAAAACCAACAGGTACACATTTTTCAAGTTTGCTAGATGGATGAGAATGAGAGTAGGCACACAGTGAATTTTTTTTGTTTGTTTTTTTTGCATTGAAAGTCAAGCAAACTTGACATGACACCTTTTATTGTAAATAAACATTACTGTAGGCTATGATCCTAAAACCCAACAAAGTGTGCAATCTTAGGCAACCATACAAAGGAAGCATGCATGCTAGATTAATGTCAGTACATTTTGACATTGCCGTGACATGAGAGAAAGATGTTTCAGATATGTGACACATTATTACAGCACTGTGTGTAGACAGAGGTCAAAATAAGGAGAACGACATCACTTCCTACTGTGTGTTTCACCCATGCAGAGCTAACGCACATTGATAAAGTCAGGAACTGCAGCTGTATGTACAGATAGATAGCAATGTAACCAATATAAACAGACAGCACATCCGATTCCAGACACAGACCAGTTACTCAAGTGGTAACAGGCTCATTTTCATCCTCGTCTAACATTTGGACATCTTCATGAAAAGTAAGGGTCCACAGCGACACAACATAACATATTTATCAATAACAATGATAGTTGTTTTTTTCTTTCTTTTGACATTTTAGTGGAAGGTTCAAAACCATTTAAATTAAACATGGAAATTTTGGTAGAATACTTCATTTAGAATGTATGCTACACCAATGCAATTCCCACATCGGGATTCGCACATCTAATGACAAGCAAGGGTGGCATTATTACCAGGCCCTCACTATTTTTCTGAGAGTGGATCAACCAAATCACTCAGACAAAATGCGCGCACGCACACACACAAGCATCGGTTCAACAACCCTGATTTTCTATTCACGTTTAACGTTTACAGTCAAGGGTTTCAAAACTAAATTTTAAAATAAGAATATATTTCAGGTATTAAATAATTTCATATAAAAAAGTACAAGTTCCCTCCCACCCCAGAGTTCCACATATATATTTTATCATACATATACATTATCCCCTTTCCACACCGCAGGGTCCATGCAGTACCTATAATAACGTCAGTCTCTTTTTCTCAGAATTTTTGTATATCTGCTACACTTAATAGCAAAGCGACACAAACACGCAGAGAAGCTTATGTTATAGATGGTTTGGCTTTTTCATATTGTGGTTATAATCTGGGGTTAAAATGAGTATTATTTTAATGCAGACGTTTCAGCCGTTGAAGATAAACAGAGTGGAAAAGGAGAGTAGCATATCCGTACTCAGCATATGTCCCAACTACCAATCGCTTGTCAGTTTAGTGTTTTGGTCCCGTTTGGGTGGAGCCGGCGGAGGACCCCGCCGTAATGTTGCATAGCCTGAGATGTTGGCGCTCATGTATCCGCCTTTTTTCTGCTGGCCCAGCAGCAGCTCTGGAGGAGGGGGCGGAAGGGCCATATCGTCCATGGTGGCTACTGGCTCCAGCTTGGCTGAGATTCGTGAGGAGGTGAGGGAGCCATGTCGAGTCATGGACTTTCTTTTGAGAGTTCTGTTGAGGTCTTCCAGGAAGTTGGGCTGGATGGACAGATTGGCCTTGGGCGAAGTTGGTGGGATCTGAGAGTTAAAAGAGGACAGAGTCATCTGTTGAGGAGGTGGAGAAAGGAGAAGTGGTTCGGGCGGGCCACTGCTGCGGCGGTGCATAGTCAGAGGCGTTGCTTTCTTCAAGGAGCTCTGTTTCCATGAGGATGTGGAGGAGTTTTGGGGTTGAGGGTTCACCACGGCCACTTTGGGAGCCCCAGTGTGCAGTTCTGACGGGAGAGGTGGAGGAGGCAGGAGTTCCGAGTCTGGCGGCGGAGGGGGAAATTCACACTCCGGAGGAGGAGAGGGGAAGTCTAAGCTGGACTGGAGATATTGACCTTGCTTCCCCTGGAGAGCCAGAGGCAGATTAGCCAAGTTGATCTTGCCTGGTTTTTGTGGTGCCCGAGCTACTGCAGAAGAGTCCTTGGAAGGTGATCCTGTCGTAGAGGATGGAGTTGAAAAGGAACTGGGTGGGGCTTGACTAGTTTGGGCAAACATGCTGACCAGATTCTCCACTTTCTTGGACTCCTGGTACTCAACAGAAGAGGAGGCCTTCACGCTGGAGTTGCGCTGTGGGGTTGGAGGGGGCTTCTTCCCTCCTGAACCAGTAGAAGAATTTGATGATGTTGATGGGGACTTCTTGATTGGTGATCCCACCTTGCCAGAAGGCTGAGGGGCAGGAGGCGGGCTTGGAGCAGGAGGTGGAGGGAATTCAAGGGTACTCTCTGGTGGAGGTGGAGGAAATTCAGGAGATTGTGGTTGAGCCTGTCCTCCTGGCTGCCATTTTGGTTTGGTTTTTACCACGGGAGGAGATATGGGACATTTGGATCCATCAAGAGTGTCAGGGAATTGGTTTACAATCTGCTTTACAAGCGATTGGGTGGGAGAGATGGGGGCAGATACAGATGAAGCTTTGGAAGAAAGGCTATATTGCTTGGGAAGGGTTGGTGGAGGTTGATTGGGACTGTGACCACTGGACAAGCTCTGCTGTTTCCTCATGGTGGCCGGAGGAGTTGGAGACAGAGAAGGTGGCAAAGGGGAAACGGGGGAAATGCCATGGCCAGGTTTTGGAGCCGTTTGGGGTGGAAACACACCAGTGAAGGTTTTAGGTGGGGCAAGTGGACCTGACTGCTGAGGCGGTGGAGAAAAACACACTGGAGGAGGTGGTGGAGGCTCTTCATCTTGCTGGACAGATGAGAAGTCATAGGCCATATTAGGGAACTTCTGAGCTAAGAACTGCTGGAGCCCATTGGTGCTGAGGGGAGGTGGGTATTTTAACTGTTCTGGGGGTGGTGGTGGAGGCAAGTAGCCATTACTGTGTAAGTGAGATGGTGGTGGCAGATGGTCTTCCTCTGGAGGTGGAGGGGGAACGTAGTGGGGGCTGAGAGGGGCGTGCTTCAACACTGCCATGGCTGACCCTGGCACTGGCATCTCTGGAGGAGGTGGTGGTGGTGGTGGGGGTGGAGGAGGACTGCTGGCAGTTTCTGCCAAATTATTCATACCAGGTTTGAGACACTGTGGGGGTGGCATAGGGGGAATAGGTTGCTGCTGTACTACTAATAAGGGGGTCTGTTTGTAATTATTTTGAGCCTGGGAGATGTTTTGCAGCCTAGCAAGGGTGCTGTATTTAGTGAACTTAATCGGGGTGGAGTGGTGCGTGGGGTTGGGGAGCGGGGGAGGTGGTGGAGGCGGCGGTGGTGGAGATAGGGGTGAGGAAGGAGACACTGGGGACACACCGCTGTAGCTGCTACGAGACTGGATAGACTGGTGTAGTTGAGGAAGTTGTAGAGGGTAAGAGGCTCTAGCAGGGTGTGTTGGTGGGCCGTCCATTCTCATCTGTGGATATGACAAAAACCATTCAATTAGAACAGTATGAATGAGTTTTTTTGACATTGATTTAAAAATTTTGAATGATACGTAGGTATTAGTAGTGTGCAAGAAGATATTCAGCAGACAGTGCAATTAAAAGAGTGAAATGACATGAAATGTTACAGGAAATGTTATAAAGTCTTATGGGAGGAACCAACAACTGTTAGTATTGAGATCTGCTCTTCCAAACTCAGACTCTTTTGTCCTTACAAAATCGGTTCATTGAGATGTAGAGCTTAATCTAAAAACCCCCAACTATGACAACAGCAATTCAGTGTGTGCATCACAAAACAGGAGTTCATCCTGTTTCATGTTGTGCTTACCTTCTCTGAGAATATCTCCCATTGATAACACGCATCAAACCAAAACACTCCAACCATTAAGTAACAGGTTATTCAAAATACAACACCAGTGCATTGTCTGTTAAGAGTTAACACAAACTATTAAAACAGGTGTCTCACACCAGTCCCCAATTACCCAACATTCACAAAAACAACTAAGATGAACCACCCGCCACACACATCATATCAGTGGTTAGTCGCTTTAGAGGGTCACAAGTGAGAATTATATAAAATATAAAGGGCTAGAGTGTGAGGTTTTACCACACTCCTAACCTCAATCCCCACCACTGTATATCCTTTCCAGGCTTGACATTCTCATCCTGGGTAGATAAACAGAGAGGGGACCAATTAAGTAATATAACGGGGGACAGTGTGACATGAGTTCGATGTCCCACTATCACGCAAAGGGTCTTTATTGTGACTCAGATTGCCCTTGCCCTCTGAGTAATTAAATTCGACACTTGAAAGTAGCTGACAATATGATGTCATATCCAAATTTAACAAATTCCACTGACATCATTTTAATTAAATCTGAGTAGAACAGGTTACCTCTCAGAGAGTAGACAGGCGACTATGTCAGAGAGAGCTATATTGGATCTATATGTTAGAAGCTCTACAACTATTGGGCCTTAATGAGGACTTTGATATGAGTGTGTTTCATTAATCTCATTACTATAGACTATTCCATGTTTTATGATGGCCATAGCCTGATATTTACATGGAATAGGGTATTGATGTAGTGTATGAAGAACATTTTTTTGGGATATTTTTTTTAAATCTTGATGTAATTCATGTGTTTTGTTTTCAGTAGACCCTGTGCCTAAGGCTATATTTGATAGAATATATAATATATGGCTATAAATGTAGAACTACATTTCCCATGTTCCCTATCCCTGTAGCCTTAGCCATGTTAACACAGGTGTCTGGCATTATGCAATCAGGAGAGGTGATTGACAAGGGCTTTTTTGTATGGCCACATTCACTCTGTTTGTATGCCTGAAGAAGGTCGCAAGACCGAAAGCTTGCAATAAATTGATCTTGCACAGTGTTTTGAGTGTGCGGCTGCTGTATTTTTACAATATTTTCCACTATGATTTAATGTAGCAGCACCTCTCTACAAGACTTTTTTTGACGGATGAGCGGTGGTTCTTTTCTATTTTTTCTATAATTAAATCTGAGTAAATTGGAACTCTAATTAAAACACTGACACCATCAAACCTCCTTGTTTTCTTTTTGTTTGGTGTATGCGTTTGTTCTTTCAGGTTTTTATTGTTCCTATATATATAAAGAACATACTTTGCATCGTTCCTAACAATGCCATTCAGCCATGACTGAATTCACAATGCAGTGATGCACAATGGCCTCTTGTACCTTATAGCTTACATGATGTATAATATTGCAAAGATTTTTTCAAATGGATTAGAATATAACAATGACACCATGATGAAGAAACAGAAGTGGAACGAAGCAGAGCAAGTAAAGATTTAAAATAAAGTTCTTCAATGGTCACCTTGGGTTCATCTGCCTGATTGCCTCTCTTCCAGGCCTCAGAGAAGATGGAGCTGACCACACTCTGAGAGCGCACATGACCAGAGGATGTAGTCTCCGACACGCCACTGTCTGATTGGCTAGAGTGGTTGGACTGAGATTCTGTAGGCATGAAAGAATAAATGAATCAAAAGTTGAGTAAAAGAGGTGAACATAGAAACTTGATAATCTGCCTAATAGACATAACACAAGCCTGTTAAATATGAAGTACTGCCTCATATCTCAGGTTACCTGTATTTCTGCTGAACTCACCTGGTAGACTGGAGGAGCTGGAACCAGACTTGATACTGGAGCTGGACAGGGAGGACCAATCATGAGCAGCCTCTGTGCGTCTCATAGCTTCCTGATAGTTCACATAAAGCTGCTTCCCATACTGCGTTAGAAATCACATAGATTCAGCCACAAAACTAGCATTAAACACATATTACATTATACACCAAGCAGGGTAATGTCATTATAACAAGATATTACCTTGGCAATGCGTATTCCGTTGACCCACTGATGCAGTGTTCTGACATCGTCACAGCACAGATACTTGATGTACTGTGATTTCTTCTGAATCTGAGGGTGCTGTGTGAGGAAATCAGAGACATTGTATTGTATTTGTGGAAAGCATATAGCATAGTTCATATTGTCATATCAGTTATATACACATCATTTTCTATACTGTTAGTGGCTGACTGATGCTGTGGCATATTTTGAATGCGATTTTACATGCTGGTATATTATTGTGGTATCAACCATTTTGGATAAACCTATCTCTAAATATAAGTAAAAACAACAAAAATTGTATATGGTCATTTGTCAGACAAACTCTTCTTGTCTAAATAGGCAGGTCTTCACAAGAATAAAATGCAATGCTACCTTTATGCTGTACTCAAAAATCTGGCAACATGAGACTAAGGTCAGACAAGTTATGGGAATCTGGAAAGTAGCGTATGAAAAGTCTAAAGATATGCAAGGGCAAAAGGTTTATTTATTTTTTTACCACTTTCACTACTTGTAAATGACTCTTAGTCATTTAAGTAAATGCATTTTTAATAACACACGGCTTTAAAAGATCCTCTTCCTTTCCAAGAACAAAACAACATCTGGTAATAGACCATTAGGGTCTTTACAGCGATGATGATTTGCTTTTGGCGAAGCCTACCTGGTGACAGAAAATGATAGTTCTGCAGTAGCAATCTATAGAAGCAATGGAATAAAAGAATAAAAAAGGTAATCTCACAATTCTGACTTTTATTTTTCAGCCGCAATTCCGAGTTTATATCTCACAATTCTGAGAATAAAAATCAGAATGGCAAAATATAAACTCTTTTTTGTCCCTCAGAATTGTGATATAAACTTGCAATTTGCGAGAAACAATATCTGAATTGTGAGATATAATATGTTATCCATGTAAAATGTTATAGATTTAAATATTATTTTATGCTGTAACTCTAGGGCTAATACATTAGGTCCCCAAAGAACAGCATATGTGAATATTATGTAGACCTATTGTTAAAATCTAATTCATACTTTAATAGTAGACTGGTTTCATCGCAGGTTTCATCAGTCCAGTCGGCAGCTAGCAACCATAAACTTCTTCGTTTAGTTTCAAAGAGAGTTTTTGATTCTTGGATTCTGACATCCAAAGGGAAAAGACACTTTTTTCTCTTATTCTGTGGATTTTGCCCACTTTCCTACAATTGTTACCACTGTTTTTCTGCCAACACAATGCATGCGCAACTGCAGTGACGTAACTGTAACGTCCACTCCCACATGGTCTATGAGGAATGAAAACTATAATGCTTTTTGGCAATGTACAAGGATGATTGCTGTAACTCACCTTCAGGACCATGCAGTAGTCAGTTGGGGCTTTATACTTGCTGCGGTAGTCCTGACCCAAGTAAATATTAACATGATCCAGCTGCAGGAAGCAAACCAGGTCTCTTGAGGCCTACAGGTGACATCGGAAAACAGGCAAAAAAAAAATACAAATAAAATTGCATGTTAGAACAAAGGATTTTTGGGGTAAATGAACATGTAGTAGGGAATGTAGGTAATAGCCCTACTACAATCTATGTATTGTCTTCATTTAAATGCTTGAATATTATTCTCTAAAATATAAGAATGATTTATTATTTATTTTATTATTATTTTTAAAACATGCCTCACAGTTGACCTGCTGTCTAATTCATTCCTTTATTTATATTGTGCCAATGGAAATTTGCTTTTAAAATAGAAAAAGACCTTTTAGGACCAATAGACCTAAATTGACCTTCACTGTTTAATCCACTAGGGGGAGCACTACATTTGCAGAAAGTTACATTGAATTAGTGCATAGAAACAGGAAAAACAGGTTGAATTGCATGAAACATGCAGTCCTGAATGTTATGTTTTTTTGAAGCACTGAGATTCTGTACTTAGTCTTTTGAAGAGACAGACAGTCATGTGTTAAGCATCAGAGTTAAGTATGAAACAGAATGCATATGTTAGTGATGCAGATGGGCAGCAGCTGTCAAACCCAGAGTGATGACCTGAGGATGTACAGCAGCTGCTCTTTTATCTCTCTCTCGATCACCCTCTTCCTCCCTGTGGTTTGTGGATAATGAGCAGTCACTGGCCTATGTCTACTCTGAACTTGACCTCATTAGCTGATCTCTAAACCTGGAAGAGACAGTCCTTTATCTCCTGAAAAGCAAAGGAATTATGAAATGTGACTGACAGCAAGTGTGTTCATGCTTTAGCACTACAATCTCATTCACGCATGTGTATATTCATATCATAAACGGTCCATCAAGATGTGCTTGTGTCAGGTTTGACATCAGTGATGTCTGGTACCTAATCACGATTCCCTTAATGTGAATATGTACTTTCACAGCAGCACAAAATTATACTATTTTAGTATCATGTATATACTATTATACTATTCATTAATATTTTCATTTTATTTGTATATTTTCAGATTTTTTTATTTTAATTTGAGTTTGCTTTAATAATTTTGTTAAATGCTTGTGTCATTTTTTTTTTGTATTTCTATATTGCTTTCATTCATTTTTATTTCAATTTTATTTTTTGTAATTTTAGTACCGACCTTTTGATTTTAGTAGCGATTGTGTATTACCATTGCGTACAGGCTTTATAGTCTGAGTGTATCTACACATACATGTGACACATACACACACACACACAGTGCAAGCATAAAGCCAACATATGTGCACATAATCCTACATCTCTGTCATATGTGTACATAATCTTAATTCCATTCGCCTACTAGGAGATCTAACAACATAAAGAGATATTCTGGGATTATGGAGCAGATGAGCACTTCGCTCTGGGAGAGAATTCTCAATGTTAAACTAAAATCAAGCACATCCTCAGACAACTGATTAGTGCTGCCCAATTGACTGTATACTAGTCAGTAGTATAGTTTCTCGTGAGCACACAAAAAGTTTCGTGTGCGCATGTGAAAGTCTGTATATTGTTTATTTTTGCAAAGGTTCTTTCAGGGGCTCTTTATTACATGAGGTTTTATTCCAAACAGCAAAAAAGTACAAAAAAGTATGATATCCCCTCTTATTTTGGCAGATCCCAAATGTGCAGATGCTTTTTTGCACTGATAATTTCTGATAGGATCACCAAAATATGCATTTTAAAGGGGTCATGAACTGCATTTATTCATGAACTGCATTTTTTTATTTTATAATGTTTCCTGAGGTATATTAGTATCATTTGTACATCAAAAATGGTCATAATAAATAAATAAAAGGCATTTTTCCTACCCTGATTTGAGCGCTCTGTTTGAAGGGGCGTGTCTGCTGTGAGACTTCAGTGTAAATGCCCACTGCTGTGATTGGCTAACATCTTTGCATATGAAATAGCTAAGTATTACGTGTGGAACTCCCTCGAAAACTTTTACTAAGTTTTTACTATTACAGCTGTGTTACTATTACAAGTGTTGATTCTAGCATTATATTAAGATCTACTCCCACCACATGAAAGGTTGCAGAGATGAGCTTTGTAGCCGGTGACAGACGTCTGGCATGAATGCAGTGATCTCGTCATTGCGACTCAATTTCTGCAATCTCACAAATGCTTTCATCATAACTAACAGAGCTAACATGATGTAAATGAGAGATCCATTGTGCAGTGTAGACAGCGTCATTGATTACAACAGGAGTTTTGGCGAGGAAGTTTTGAGTTCAGAAACTTACAGGATGCTTTAATAGTACAATGACCTCTTAAATGTCCACACAAAAAAAAAATTCAGGAAAATGCATTTTCTCAATTCATGACCCCTTTAATACCAGGTGGAAGTAGGGTCATAGCATAAGAGTGCTTGTGTGTCAGTCAGCAAGTTTGTGAGGGTTTATCAGTTATCAAGTGTGTGAAAGTGAAAAGATAATGAATTTCAGAGCAGAAAAAGAGAGACAGACTCTGACCTTGGCTTTACCCTTTGGCACGTAATATAACCCAGAGGCTCGTAACAGGAAGTACCGCTTCTTCCAGGATTTCTTGCCGTCATCTTTGAGCCAGAGCACCCCTTCCATCTCAGGAACACTGATGGAGCTTCCACAAAAACACTCCTGCTCAAAAACACACACACACCTTTATCAGCGAGTAAAACATGTCTGACATGACCTAAATAAGTCATGCTGTTTAAAGCACAAGAGAGAATGTGTATAAGTAGGTTCACAGTCTGCCTCACCTCCAACAGAGCCTCTTTATTTCTGTCTGCCATTTCACACGTCTCCTTACGCCCCAGCAAATAGTTCTGAGGAAACAGATGATTGTTAAAGTGGCTAAGAAAATGATCAGTCTATCACTGATTTACAGGTATTGCATACTAGAGCATTAGCCAAAACAAATCTTTAGATATTTGAATGTGTTATTTTAAAGGGCATTCAACAAAGTGCAACCTAAGTAAACAAAGCGGTTAAATACATGGATTGACATCTTGTATTCAGGGTCGCAGCCAGAGACTGGGCAGTGAACACACTTTAACCAGCCTCTGCTGAGATCAATTATTCATTACAGTTCAGCATTTACATGACATTGACCTACATCAGCCACATATGCCGATAAAACAACTGATCCATAGAGCACTGATGAACTAACCTCTATATTATTAATACACTCTTTGGTGACAGAACTGCACAAATCAATTTCAAGAATCATTTAATCATCACACTACTTCATTGCATGGCTTTAAGGGACAATTCACTCAAAAATGAAAATGCTGTAATTCTGAAAATTAAGGCATTCTTTTTGAAAATGTTGACTTTCACTGAGGCCTTCACGCATCATTAGCCACACAACACCAGTGAATAACTAACTTACACTATAATTTAAAGGTTTGAGGTTAGGAAGATTTTTTCAGCAAGGATGCATTAAATTTATCAAAAGTGACAGTAAAGACATTTATAATGTTACAAAAGACTTCTAATAAATGATGTTCTTTGAACTTTCTATTAATCAAAAAATGCATAATTGTTTTCCACAAAAAATATATTAAGCAGCAATGTTTTGAACATTGATAATCATGGGAAACGCACAAAATCAGCACATTAGAATGATTTCTGAAGGATCATGTGACACTGAAGACTGGAGTAATGATGCTGAAGATTCAGCTTTACCATCACAGGAATAAAATACATTTTAAAATATATATTTAATTTATTCTAAATCATAATATTATTTCACCATTTCACAGTTTATACTGTATTTTTGATCAAATAAATGCAGCCTTGGTGAGCATAAGAGACTATTTTCAAAAACTTAAAAAACAATCTTAAAGGCAGCAAACTTTTGAACAGTAGTGTATAATACTGTATGCTTTGCAAGACTTAAAATGTACTGCACAAGGACTCATTGTTTGCTGCTTTTTGGAGCTAAACAGATATGGTTACTATTGACAGGCGGAGTATTACCTGAGGGTTCTTGAAAAGCGCGTATTTCTCAATGCGTTCGATGAACATCAGTCTGTTGGTGCTGTCCCTGGTCCAGTTTAGCAAGTTCTCCACCAGGTTCTCATGATCCTCGAAGATTCTCTCTGGAAAAACAAAGTGTGAACATTATAAAGATGAAGAGACTGTCTGAAAAAAAATGTGACTTGCTGTTCATAAATCAACGAGATCAACTTCAGATTCTTTGACCAGTTATTACAGCAGAAAGTACTTTCACTTCTCCTTGAAAAATGATCCTGATGTGGAAAAAAGTGATTGTAAACCAAAGATAGTCTAAATCATGCAGTAAACAGGCCTACAAGAGAGGTCAGTAAAGAAAGGTGACACATCTAAATTATTATAAGCCTTGCTGGCACTGTCCTGCTCTCTTTGCTCTCTATATAGAAATAAAGTATGTAGCATAGGACAAGAAGTATGTAGCAAATTGCACGCACTTGACAAATTTGAAATAGGTCAAAAATTAAAAAACCCACTGAGGTAAATCAAATCCATTCATTAACAACAATTTCTACATGGGTACTGCAAGTTCCATGAAATCAAACGTATTATTTAAACACAACTTCATAATATATGATAATGTTTTATATATAGGCTGTTATGCTGAGCCTAAGTTTGCCTTGTACATTGAAAAGTATCCTGTCAGACATGAGATTCTGAAGTTTAGAAACCTCTGCCAGTATATAAAAGGCAAACCCTTAACAAAAGATTAACAAATAAAGATGATAAAAAATGAAAAGAGTGAAATCGCTAATCTGACAGATTCAAGAACAATATCAAAATTAAATGCATGTTTAATGTATGAAAATACATTTATTTATCTATTTCCTCATGAATATATATGAGTGCGCACATGCACTCACTCACAAAATACCTCTAGAAAAGACCTCCGCTGCTCTTTCTATTAAAGGGATTTTAGCATTGACCATCTGGTGGATATTCTACACACGACCACTGTATATCCTTGCCTTCCCCTCTCTGCCTTTTCTCCTTCCACTGAAAGAGCAGAGAGTGGAAAAACAGAAGCCCTGGAGATGTAGGCTACGGCCACACGCATGATCGCTCTGGACCTACATAGAGAGAAGCCCAGCACAAGAGGCCTGTGACTCACACACACATGTTCTGGGTTCAAGACAACTCTATCAACAACATACCACAGGAAATAAATTTGATTCGTCACTCAGAAAAAAGCAACAAAAAAATAAAAATACAATTTGTTTACAGTAATGCCTTTACATTGGAAGTGTATGGGGCAGTGCATTGCACCAGTGTGAAAGAACATAAAAATATGCATGGTTTGAAAGTATAATCTCAAGACTCAAACATTACCTGTGTTAAATTGCAAAGTAACATTGCCATTTAAAAGTTTAGGGTCAGTAAGATTTATTTTTAAAATAATTAAAAATACTCACAAAAATACTCTATACTAATATTCAGCAAGGATTCATTAATTAACTTGATCAAAAGTGACTGTAAGGATATTTATAATGTTATAAAAGATTTATATTTCAAATAAATGATGTTCTTTTGAACTTTCTATTTGTTTCACAAATTGTGAACAAAAGTATCACAGTTTCCACAAAAATATTAAGCAGCACAGCTGTTTTCAACATTGATAATGATAAGAAATCAAGGTAACACTTTAGTTTGTGGACCAATTCTCACTATTAACTAGTTGCTTGTTAGCATGCATATTACTAGCATATTGGCTGTTTAAGTCAAGTCAAGTCACCTTTATTTATATAGCGCTTTTTACAATACATATTGTTTCAAAGCAGCTTTTCAGTGATAACAGGAATATAATGCAACAAAGTTTGTTTCGGCTGTACAGCAGCTCTAGAAGAAAATAGCGTCATAGTCCAGCTTAAGTAAGTTCAATGATGGTTAATTTTTATTTATTTAGTTCAGTTCTCATATAATGGTGTCAATGCAGGCAGATCAATAATATTGTTGACTATTAAGTGTCCCCATTTATTAATACTTATAAAGCACATTTATTCTGCATGACCATATTCTACATCCCTTAATTAACCCTACCCAATAGCCTACCTAAACTTAACAACTACCTTACTAACTATTAATAAGCAGTAATTAGGAGTTTACTGAGGCACAAGTCATAGTTAATAGTGAATATGTGTTCCTCAAGCTAAAGTGTGATAGAAATGTTTCTTTCTTACAGAGTGTGACAAAGAAGGGAGGGCATCCTTTCTTCTTTATAGTCTCTAAATGAAGAGACATGTCCCATAACTAACACATTGTTGCATCCTCCGTTCTCTAGTTGTTACTTCCTCTATGTTATCATGAACAACATGTCCCCTCCTACTACCTTTGAGTAAAGGCCCTTTGTCTCAGCCTTACATTAGTCACACATTTATTTTTGTCAAGTCACGTATACAAGGTCATACACATACATACACAGATAAGGGTTAATAGTTCTTTGTTCCATCAATGTAGCAGAGAATCATGGGAATCTTCGTGCATTTTACTACCTTAATCTAATTACTATGAATATAAGAAAATGCACATTTATAGAACATATTAAATTGCTTCGACACCTTCCACAACTCTCCTGACCGTCATCAATTCTATTGCCTCAAATAACAACTTCTAGTATTACTATTATGAAATTAGTGGAACTAGTTATTATAGTAATATTTACCTAGTCTAGTGCTACCCCTCCCACAGACCGCACATGATTGTATGGGATAATCCTATTGGGATTTCAGACATAGATTTTGCTAATCTATACTTGCTGCTAATCTGCACCTATCAAATAAATGAAATAGGACTGTTGTTATGGTTTTGAAGACCAGCGAAAAATGAAAAAGATTTAGTGTTTGCAGCTGAATTATCATCCAGCTGTCGTTGTGCTCGATCTGGGGCAAGCCTGACCACATGACTTTAATCCCTTTTTTCATTTGTCTTTATTGATTCAATCTCTCTTTGGATGATACTTCAGACTAGTCAGTGAAGGAATGGTCTACCACGCAACATACCACAGCATGCGCACTACCTGCCAGACCACGTATTCGATGATGCACAGGTTTTTATCAGTCTTCCTTCTTTACAAGGGTCTTAAATATATACATAAATGATGCAGGGTCTTAAAATGATATTTATCGGTTTTGTTTAGCAATTAGCATCAACTAATCAAGATATCCACACACAATTGTATATTCTGCTTTGTTTGAAGAGTTGTCTTAGTTAAGCCTTTGAACGGAAACAAAATACGCAACCATTCAAAAGTCTGGGGATGATAAGAATGTTTTGCTTAAAAATACAGTAAAAACGGTAATATTGTGAAATATTATTACATTTTAAAATAACAGTTTTCTATTTTAATATATTTTAAAGTGTCATTTATTCCTGTGATGTCAAATCTGAATTTTCAGCATCATTACTCCAGTCTTCAGTGTCACATGATCCTTCAGAAATCATTCTAATATGCTGATTTGATGCTCTTGAAACATTTCTTATTATAATCAATGTTGAAATCAGTACTGCTGCTTAATTTTTTGCTGAAACTGATACATAAAAAAACAGCATTACAAATAACACAACAAATGTCCTTATTGTCAATTTAATGCATCTTTGCAAAATAAAAGTATTAATTTCTTTAAAAATCTTACTGACTCCAAACTTTTGAATTGGTAGTGTATAGATCTACACGTTTTCCACTAAATTATTTGGTGTAGCATATAAAACCTTTTGCAGAGATTTTTGTGCCACTGTTTGAAAGAAAGAGCAGTTTGCTCCATTTGGTCTATTACTGTGGTACCAGTATAAAATTCCAAATATACTGTAAACAAAAAATAAATAAATAAATCCCATGGTTGGTCCATTTTCATGTCAATTACTGGGCTGTTCTTGGCTAGAAACAAGTCACAATTAGGACCACACGGGGGTCTTACCCGTCTGGAGTTCAGTGATGATTTCCACCAGAGACCAGTCCAGGCTATACCCGCAGTGAGATTTGTCCAGCAGGTTGTCCAGCACCTGACGCACAGTCTGTCTCTCATCCACCATCATAGTTTTTGAGCTTTCATCTGATAAGTGCACTCGGATTACCAACTGAGGGGAGAGACAGGACATGACAACAGTTATGTATGTTCAGGAGCGCCGCTGGGGTTTCTGAGCCCCCTAGCCAACTTTCTGTGTGTAGGAGTTACAAACGTTTGTTTCTTTTCTATGTGCGTTTCCCAAAAATGCACTTCACACGAACGATATTATTCATGAAGTGCTGAAATGTCAGTCACTCATCACTGTAACCTCATTACATTCTATAACTTTTGGCGTAATGTTAATTTTTTTTATTTATTTACCTGACCATAAAATGATTAGAGTTTATTTACCTAAATATTCAAGGTAATAATCTACATAACTGAATTTGGGTCTTATCGGGTCCACATTTTTTTTTAAATGGCCTGAGACCCAAGGACGCTAATATAAGACTCAACCCGACACTCATGAAAGTTTTGCACCCGAACCCACTCGAGTCTTGGGTTGGACCTTGGGTTTTCGGATCCAGGAGGACCTGTGAAGACCTTTACCAGGGCCCTATGAATCATCCTATTCTTCCACCCCTTTGACATTTTATTGGGGGATTTGGCCTTTTGTAAGCACTTCAGGCAAACATTCACTCATTCAAACATTCTCTGAGAAAAACAGCAACCACATCAACTGCACACAAACAAGATTAAATGAAATAACCCTTCCACATACATATCCCCATTTTAGTACAAAAAAAGTATCTCAGCAACAGCAAAAAGCCTGTGAACATACAAACCACATAAGAATCCCCTCTCTCTCTCTCTCTATGACATTACACACATTATCGCAACTAAGCCACATATACAGTCATGTGAAAAAGAAAGTACACCCTTTTGGATTCAATGGTTTTACGTATCAGGACATAATAAAAATAATCTGGTCATTAGCAGGTCTTAAAATTAGAAAAATACAATCTCAGATGATCAACAACACATGACATATTACACTGTGTCATTATTTATTTAACAAAAGTAAAGCCAAAATGGAGAAGCCATGGGTGGTAAACTAAGTACACCCTATGATTCAGTTGCTTGTAGAGCCATCTTTAACAGTAATAACTCGAACGAATCACCTTCTATATGACTTTATCAGTCTCTCACATCATTGTGGGAGGAATTTTGTCTCACTGTTCCTTACAACGTTGCATCAGTTCATTGTGGTTTGCAGGCATGCACAGCTCTCTTAAGGTCCCACTGCATTTCAATCGGGTTGAGGTCTGGACTTTGAGTGGGCCAGTGCAACACCTTGATTAGTTTATTTTTCAGGCATTCTGGTGTAGATTTGCTGGTGTGCTAAGGATTATTGTTGCATGGCCCAATTTCGGCCAAGCTTTAGCTGTCGAACAGATGGGTTCACTTTTGACTCTGGAATACTTTGGTATACAGAGGAGTTCATGGTCGACTCAATGACTGCAAGGTGCCCAGTTCCTGTGGCTTCAAAACAAGCCCAAATCATCACCCCTCCACCACCGTGCTTGACCGTTGGTATGAGGTGTTTGTGCTGATTTGCTGTGTTTGGTTTTCGCCAAACGTGGAGCCGTGCATTATGGCCAAGCATCTCCACTTCAGTTTTTTCTGTCCAAAGGACATTGTTCCAGAAGTCTTGAGGTTTGTTCAGATGCAACTTTGCAAACCTAAGCTGTGCTGCCATGTTCTTTTTAGAGAGAAGAGGCTTTCTCCTGGCAACCCTTCCAATCAATTCGAATTGTACTGTCATAAACTTTAACATGTTAACTGAGCCCTGTAGAGTCTGAGATGTAGCTTGGGGTTTTTGCGATTTCTCTTAGCGTTGCACGGTCTGACCTTGGGGTGAATTTGCTTGGGACATCCACTCCTGGGAAGATTTGCAACTGTCTTGAATGTTTTACACTTGTGAATAACCTTACTGTAGAATCAAATTGTTTGAAAATGGCCATATAACCCTTCCTAGATTGAAGGCAGCAACAATTGCTTCTTTAAGATCATTGTTGATGGCTTTCCTCCTTGGCATTGTGCTAACACACACCTGAATGCTCTAGACCAGCAAACTGCCAAAACTTCTGCCCATGGCTTCTCCATTTTATTTAGTTAAATAAACCATGACACTGTGTAATAGGTCATGTGTTGTTGTTCATCTGAGGTTGTATTTACCTCATTTTAAGACCTGCTAAGGACCAGATGATTTGTATTATCCCCTGATACGTAAAACCATAGAATTCAAAAGGGTGTGCTTTCTTTTTTACGTGACTGTATATGCTGATATTGTTGATAAATTGGATTTATTTCGAACAACCAGTTCTTTCTAACTGTCATTTCACCAGACCTGATTCAACAATCAATATCCGTCATTGCTCAAAAATGTACACACACATATTTATCAGATCACAATTAGTGAGATCCTATGAGCAATATCTGAGAGTGACAGCTTCTTCCCCGAGCACCATCGCAAATCCAGCAGCTTGTTAAGTTTCTACAAGCTTTAATTTCGGATTAACTGTGGATTTTAGGAGCATATTTATAGTGATTTCACTGTGAGAGAGCAGCATTTAAAAGAGACACAGGCTCAGATTTTGCACTGTGACAGTGACCTGACCCAGAAAACATTCCATCAGGGCTGCTGCTGACCCACACACACATTCAGAGAACAGACACTGAGGCCACGCGGGCGCACGTGCACAGACACTAATCCCCTCAATGTGTTTAAGTTGCCTTGATCATCTGGTCTTGGCTGTTTGCATCAACACAGCCCTGTTTCACCTCCTCAGATAACAGCACATAACCCTCAGGAAGTCCTGACACAGGACATCAATTTATGACTGCACTTATATCGAGTTGTATACTTGCCAACATAGACAGAAGAGTCCAATATTATTCTTTAGTCCAATATCATTTTTAACGGCCATTTCCAATACTGATTATTATTGATTATATTGTCCAGTAAATTATATGCAGAATCAAAATTCTGAACAATATTATTATTATTATTTTTGGACAGCAACTAAATAATCATTATAAAACGGAGAGTTCTGGTGCTTTATAATGATTGACTGAGCCGCGCTCGAAGCTGTTGTAAAATACTCTATAAAAACACACACTTGTGACCTCACTGCATCAGTATAACTGCGCTGCTGCGTCTGTGTGTCATTCCTGAAGAACAACTTTGACTGGTAGAAAAATGATTGAATTATAATTTGCTCTGCATCGTGCTTAATGCATAGCTGTTCTAAAACCACTGCAAACCATGGCTTCTTGAGGCTAATTGCTTTATTTGAAAACAACAATAAATCTTTATTATTATTATTACTATTATTATTATGAAAGAAGCATACAAAATAAAAGTGTGACTTTCAGTAAGAAATATTGGACATCTTTTTGAATGATTACAAAACAACAATAAATCATATTTATATTTAAATCATTAAAAAAAATCAATATATAATTATAATGATTATTATAATTAATTAATTAATATTATTAATTATTATTATTATTATGAAAGAACCATTAACCAAAGAAGAAAGTGTGACTTTCGGTGAAAAAAATTGGGGACATCTTTTTGGGTAATCATTAGAAAACAACAATAAATCATATAAAACTCTTATTTTTCATTATTATTAATAATAATTTTATTTTTATTATTTTATCATCATCATCATCATAATCAATAATAATAATAATTGTTATTATTATATAATTATTATTATTGAACCATTAACCAAAGTAAACTATCAGTAAAAAATATTAGTCAACTAGTAGTGATTGGTTAATCTCTACTAAAGGCAACACAGCCCCTCTAAAGCCAAATAACTTGAATCATTCTGTGAATATGTGCTATAAAATCATTTCCCAGGTCCCACGAGGGCCTGATTTAGCTGTGTAAGTGTGCTGCATTACACTGCGTTGACCCACTTCTACACTACACCACTGCACATGCTGAAGCTGATATGAAAACTACTGTAGAGCACATTAGTATGAGCAGTACAGGTTGTTAAACTGGAAATATTTATGACCGGGCTTGTGTCGGTTCAGTTAAGATCTATTTATATGTAAACAAAAATCCGCTGATCATCTCACCTTTTTAACCTGAGCTTCCTTTATCTTCTCCAGAGCTACTCGGATCTTCTCAGCTTTTTGTTTGGCAGCTTGTTCCTCCTAAAGACATACAAGACATACAAACACAGTCACCAAATGGAAATACATTCTGAATTATTGTACTGGTATGTGGGGTTCCTCGCGACTTCTATTATGGTTAAACATTTGGACATTTGATGAGCTATAAGACCCAGAGTGCACAATCCTCACATTTACCTGACTTTTCCAGCAAGACGCCATTGTAAAAAGGGTTATTTTGACCTTGAACAACAGTTTATACAAAGTATAAAGAGGAAAATAAAATACAATCTGAGCGCTCTTCTCCTGGCATTTGCATCTAGTAGCCCTTTAGCAATCCCTAATACAGATTCACCTCAACAGATTACAGAAAGCTGCTTTTCAATAGTCACATTTAGATTTATAGGTCCAGTCGAACAGAAAAATATCCCATTGTAGCAAGTCTGAAGCTAGTCCACATCTATTCCTGACTGTTCTGGCCATTGCTGAGGTGTGCAGATCCATACTCAGAGCAGTTTAACGTCCATGTAAATCCGTAATGGTCATCGGTGAGATTACTGAAGAATAAATGACTGGAATCTTTTTCCAACAGCATAAATGATTCCCAGAGAGAAGCTCTTCTGCCCAAGAGCATAAAATGCATCTAATACAACCAGCGGAGAGGTGGAGGATGGGCAGATCTAGCTACACTCTACTACCTCTCGTCTACAGGCTAATCTCTCTCTCTTTCTCTCTCTCTCTCTCTCTCTCTCTAAAACAAAGAGATGATCCCTCCCCTTTTACTGTCAGATACACTTCTATCAATCCCTCCCCTCCTCTGTTTCTGTGTGTGTGTGTTTTTGTGTGTAGTTGCTTTAGTCTGGGTTTGGGATTGTGCCGAATCACAGTGTATTATCCTCTCACACTGAATAACACAAATACACACGAGAAAACAGCCACAAAAGGGCACATAAAAACTGACTGCAGCTACAGAATCATCCAAAATCTGGACACACACATGCCTCCTCATTTTAACTAACAAAATTGCAAATGAGGGAATTACAGCTCAAGCCTCTTAACAGTACACATCCTCCCCTGACTAATGCTGAGCACAGCGGCTACAGGAATATTAAACATGCAAATAGCATCATATTCATAATCAGAGCCATATACATTTACTCTTGCTTATTTTGATCAGATTAAGATAGTTTTTAGTTAACAGTGTATTTTTCTTCATGTCTCTGTGGCCTGAGCTCACCGACTCATAGGCAGCATGTGGAAATAGGACATAGCTGACACAGAAACGCACATATTCAAAAGAAGCATTTCCCAACATATTCATCTACAAGAATGGCCTGATCTAATGTTCAGAATCCAGATATTATTATTGCCTTATGGTGATACCTCTATTGAATTTCAAGGCCTCAATGCCAAAACTGAATGACCCTTTGTTTAAGAAGAAGAAAAAAAAACTTGTGCTAAAGCATCAGCAGAAACTGGCCAGCAGCTGTTCTCCTGACCCATAATTCTACATCACAAACCACCTGGCAGCAGAAACTACAATTATCTGTATTACTCCAATATCAAGGCTTGTACAGGATCCAAGGTTTTTCGGAAATTAGGAGAAAAGTGCAGCTTTTGTAGTACGAGGAGAGAAAAAGACATCTCTGTGAACAGGTGTGTCCCCTGAAGGCAGACTTACAGTTAATAAAAGTGGAGAGGGGGAATATGACGAGTGACATGAACCTCACAGTTTTAGAACCTCACAGACATTATGTGACGTCAGCATAGTGCGTATGGCGGTGAGTCACAAATAACAGCTGAATCTGAATACTTTAACAAGACTGTGAAGTTTGTTTACTTAAGGATAGAGTCAAGCAATTAACTTGACAAGAACTGAGTATTCATTTCCACCACCTTGTGAAAAAGAAGTGTGCTTAATGTGCACTTGTAGTGTACTTCAAAACTTAAAAGAGTATATTAAAAGAAACTTGCAGATAATAATATTAATGAAATAAAAGGCCACTTTCATGTGTTTCTTAATACACCTAAGTACTTTTTAAAAGTGCACCTTTTAAAAAACGTTAAATAAAAAAATACTTTAAAGTACATTTAAAATTATTATGTTATAATAATCTTTTTTCATGCATTGATTATAATTTTAACTGTAGTGCGTTTATATTATTTTTAAAAGTTCAATCATGAAAACTCTCAAAATAGAATTAGCATGTTATTAAATATGGCAATGTTAATGTATTTGGTGTAGGTGGTTGGTGTATCTGTTACGCTGCTGCTGCAGAGCAGGTATGTACTTACTGCTAACGGATACACAGACAAGCTGCTGTGAGCATGTAAGATCTGCTGCTGCTGCATGAATAGACACATACACCCCGAAGCAGATCTAGGCAGGTGGAGCTGGGGGAGGTAGAGGGTTTCAGAAGAACTCTGATAGCAAGCTCTAGGACCAGTCTACAGCAAACACTGAACCAGACTATTTAAATGTTGAGCAAGCAATCTCATTGGCTGAAAGATCAGCAGAGGCCAATCAGCTTGTGTCATGTGGTAATGATATGTTTGCTTGCAGTTTGCATGTAAAGGACCTATCAGCCCACGCCCTCTAGAGTTTCATCACTGAACTAGATATTTCATATATTTTAAATTGCAGCTCATTACAAATTTGTAATTACAAATATATTTAAATACATGACATATAAGTTTCAATAGAAATCACATTAAAGTATTTTTTTTTTGTTTACCATAAATATTTGTCAGTATATTAAATAGTACACTTTAACTATCAAAGACAACAGAATTATGAAATTACCCAAAGATGTACTGAAATCCTCCATAAATGGTTCGAAAAGGCACTCAAGTTCGACTAATTGTATTTAATATAAATTTAAACTATAATACATTTATTTAATTGTAGTAAATATGTAATTAACATGACACTCAGTTTGCACTTAAGTATATTTTATCCGTAATAAGTACTCTTTTTAAAAGTATGCTAAAGTGTACTTCCTTTTTTCACAAGGGATGGACAGACAGTGTCAGAATAAGGACTGAAAATCTAGGTAATGAAACCTCCCGAGTGCAAAGAGGATTAAAGGCACGTTCACTCAACTCCCGCAACCAATCAGAACATCTCAACCGACTCCAAGCCTCGCTAAAGCCACCACAACACAGCTGACACACTTTAGATAGTGTCCACAGCAAAATAGCAAACAACAACACAAGAAATGACAGTGAAACTTCACTTTCAGCACATTCGTAAACAAATTTCTCACAGATGATTCGCCAAAATGTAAAATATAGTTACCATGAGGTGGTGTTGGGTTTAACACATTATAAATGTGGTTATCAGCAGTGGACGGCACTGGTTTAGGCTTCCATGGGTCGATACGCCACAGTACAGTTTAACAGGATGAGCTGATCTGAGCTAAGAAAGCTTAAATCCTGCAAACTGTTTAATGAAGGTTTGGTTTGTAAACATCTTTTGTTGAGCAGGTAACTCCTCAAAAAAGTGTAAACAAGCACTGGTTGCTTATGGGAGCGCAACACTTCTGCGTGATGGGACTGCAGCCTGCTGTTTCTGAAGAAACTCAATCTCTACCTAGAATCCATCTGTTGTGCTGATCATTATGTCACTCGCTACCTTGCGGGTCCGTCTGCCACCTGTCCACAGCTAAACGATCTTAGGGTGTACCTATCTAAAAAACAGGTACATTCAAACCGTGAGGGAGCACACAGTCATCACTTACAGTCATTATCACAGATGTTGTGTTACATAAGCAGTGACGAAAACAAAGTTTCCTTCCATAATAACAGAAGCAATGCTGCTGATCTAACAGCAATTATAAATGATCCATTTCCAGTTTTCAACCTCATGTCCTAGTGGAATACTTTTTCTCAGATGTCCAAATGTTTAACCTCTAAATGGAATGAGCTCCCCAAAATCCTTTAAACATCTTCATGCATATTTAATCATTTGATTTGGACACTTCGTAGTGCTGAAGAGCTGCCGATAACACACAGCATGCATGAACATGCTCTCCAGATATACCTTAAGTAAGATAACAGTCATAGTGCAAGACAATTTGTTTTCACGAGGATATCTCAGATGCTACAGAGCCCCTAAGGAGACATGGTGGTAAAAAAAAATGAGATGGAGTAAAAATGATATTGCAATGCTTTTGCGTTCCCCCTAGAAAACTTGCACTTTGCCTGCTGAAACTATAACATTCTCTTGCAAAAGAATTGTGTTCCTTCGAGAAAGGTATTAAAATACAATTTTTCCTCCCATTTCACATAATTTCCAAGTGAACGCAAAAGCATTACATTTCTCTTCCCAGCTTCCCTCCAAGCCCTTTAGGGGCTCAGAACAGATGCATCATTATGTGATTAAAACAACCCTCACTAATATGACCAATTATAAAGTGGATTGATACAGTAAATGTCATGCGCAAATGACCATGATAAAAACTAAACATCTATTTACACAAAGAAAAACATGCACAACAATATTTTAAAATGAATCCATGAACCTCTTTACACCAAATTCTTTGAGTTCTGAAATATTATACTTTTTATTTCTGTCATTGTGAAAAATTAATTAGCATTTATGCATTTGGCAGATGCCTTTATCCGGCACATTTATTTATATTATCCGGCTGGAATTAAACATGTGACTTTGGCATTTATTCACATGTCCAAACTTTTTTTTTTTTAAGAGAATTTTGTGCAGAAAAATGTTCATGAATATTTTTGCATTTGTGTTGTTTACTTGTCAGACTTGTTGTGAATAGGCCATAAAAAGTAGTGCACTATGACTATATCAACAATACAAAAATGGAGAGTTTGAGTTAATTCTTGAACATTCTTGTTTTGTTATAGAACAACACAAACATTGTATGTGATGTGAAGTATCCATGCACATCATTTTGCATCAACCATTTATTCTGATTAATCTAATGAACTTTGATTTACTGAACTGACTAGGTACAGATGAGGGAATCATCGACGCCTTTGTTTCATTAGAAGAGCTTCCTTATGTCTTAGCATAAAGAAAACTGACGGAGGAAAAATTCAGAAAGAAACATGCTGGCATGCATAGAGGGGTTAGGAAGCCACTAGGAGAAACTCAATATATCCAGAGGTGGAAAGAGGGCGTCACCTTGGTCAGCAAGTGAGAGGGCTTTCCTGCAATGCTTTTCAGAATGAGAGAGGTCTCCCTGTCCAGATACGAGTGCTTTGTGCAGAGAGAGAGAGGAGAGACAAGAGTCATTAGTGCTTTGATTAATAAACAATAATCATTGTTCATAGTGTGAAAGCATAAGGGAAAATTGTGAGCGATAATCACTACAACTAGATAGAAAATGGTCCCATCGAAACAGTTGCATGTCACATAACATATGATTCATTTCTCTATGGACAATCACTGTGGTTCGGTATAAGATGTTTGTTTGTTTTTTTGTAATAGCGTGCGTAATTAAATTATATGCTAAATGAATAAAATGTAGTAATAATAATAATACATTGAAATTGAGGTCAAAAGAATCTGCTAAATGATCAAAATATAATAAAATGTATATCAATTATTGCACACTTAAAGTACTTTATAGGTATCTGTCATTTCAGTTGATCTTGAAAAGAGACTCTCATTGGCTGGGCCCTTTTAGCCAATCAGAAAACTTCAGAGAAGTTAAACCAATAACAAAACACTGCGTTTTACATTTTCACGTTTGTTTATATATGACTTTGGAGGGGTTGGGAAAAATATATGCGGTTGGGGCGGGGTGTCCAGGTTTAGCAAAAGTTTGCAAACGACTGAATCACTTATCTATCATCGTTTATCTATCATCAATCATCTGTAGGTCAATCATGTTTGTCAGTAAAAATCTGTGGGATAGAAGGATAGATTAGTGAAATCCCTCCACATCAATCTTCTCTGTTCAACCACAGAGTCAAAGGAAGCATGCAACTCATTGACTGCATTCAGACAGCTTTAAATAGCTTCCTAAATCATTTCATCTGTGATCACACACTCATTCTGTTCAACGGACTAATTCCCAAAAGCTGCCCGGACAAACAGCAACAGGGACAAAAATACTAATCGCCCAACAAGAAGTTCGCATTTGTTGACTTGGCAATGTGAACTAGCCTTAATGAAAAGAAATGGTGCATGATGGCTTTCATTTAATTTAAGAAATAAAATGTAACTGATAACTGATGCATTTGAGAAGTCCGCATTTATTTAACCATACCAACAATGGGTTGAAAGTTAAACCTTTAAATATTTGGGTTAGACTACTATCAGCAAATAAATACAACCTAAACTGCTGCAAAATCCCTTATCTGTGTAATTAAGTCTGCAGTGAGGGTAAAAGCCGCTTTTATTTGGTTTTTCAGCTCATTTTAATGCTTAATCTGCTCTGCAAGAGGCCTGACGAACTCAGAGCACTCCAGAGACTGTTGCAACAGGTAGACAGCATAATCAAATGTCAATAATAATCAATATTCTCAACCCTTTTGTTCTCCCAGGTCCCCTACTACACTCTGAATATTCAAAGTCTTCTTCCGGTTTTTCATCATTTACTAGATAAGGATTATGGATTTTTAAATATATTTGTCTTCAATTTCTACCCCATAAAATATTTTAAAACTTATCATAACTAGAAAAATGTGTCATTATACAAATGCCCACAGAAACTTAATACTTAATCTTATTAATTTGCATGACTTTTTACTGTAGATCTAGAAATGACACTTTTAAAGATAAAGCTCCTATATATAGGTTTTTCAAAACAGTGGGAACACTGTTCCTTCAAAGAAAAAAAAATGTTGAAGGGGTGAATTAAATTAAGAAATATCTTGATTTTCAGATTTTAGTTGGTTTATTTTAATACTAGTTTTGTCTTATTTTAAATCATTGCATGTATCCTTCAAAGAGATCCCATGTCTCCATTAGAGATTTGACCAATACGAAGCATCGTTTACCTCTGAACTCGGCTGGTCATGTCCGTCCTGTAACCCGTCCTGATCAGACTTGGGTTTATCGATGTCCAGCGAGTCCATGCTGGACGCAGAAGCGGAGTTAATACTAGAGCGAGAGGAATGGGCAAAGGACCGCACCTCATGCTCTGTGACCGTACCCACGGACCCTGTCCTGCGATGATGATGATGATGGGAGGGCGGCCGCCTCACAGTGGAGGAAGAGTACGGTGCTGAGATCGTAGAGCCCAGGGACGTGGAGCTCTGCCTGGCTGCTTCGTCCATGCTTTGGGAGGCTTTTTCCAGCTGGGCTGTGATGTCATCCAGAGAGAAGTTGGATGCCAGCGAGGGTCTGCTGGTGGCGCTGCCCACTCTGACCGTAGATGCGGGCGAGGCGCGGGTACTGCTGCTGGTGCTGCCGCCACTGCTACTCGCCCCTCCGCTGCTGCTGCCCGTGTGCTTAGTGCTGTGACTGCGGCCGGCGGGGGGCTTCTGCCGGACTTTGGGGTCGCCGGCCAGTCCGAGACGAGAGGAAGCGCTGCTGGGCTTACCGATGGTGCTGAGCTCCTGCTCGATGGAACAGAGGTCTGCCATCAGAGCATCCAGATCCACTGCGTCACCCTGGTTCAGTGCCTCTGTAAGGAAACAAACATACACACACACAAACAAACATGTAAACAAACCAGCTAATTTAAGCATGCCAATATTTATTATGACTAAGGTAAGATGTATGTCTTAAGAGTTCATTGTGTATGCAAATATCCCAGCCAAACGGGCAGAGTCTGTGTTAGTGAGGATTCCATTTTTTGTGAATTAAGTAAACTCCTTAGCAAACCCTGTCTGTTTTGGGCAGATCTGTTCTGTGACCATTTTGTATATTCCTAAAGGAACTTTACTAAATCATCATGACTTCTAGAGGGGGAACATCTATTCTGAAATGATTATTAATTCATTGTGACTTATTGCTGAATACACTACCGTTCCAACATCTGATTGGTCAGTAAGATTTCGTTTTTTGGATAAAATTGACACTTTTATTCAGCAAGGACACATTAAATTGACCAAAAGTGACAGTAAAGAAATGTATAATGTTACAAAAGATTTGTATTTCATTTTAAAGTGTAACAATATTAGTGTATATAGTCCTTCATGAGGTCATAAGGACATTCGAATTTAAAGCCCCCAATGAAGTCAGTAATTGGAGAATATGTAGGCCCTTCGTCATGAGATCATAATGATTTTTAGGTAGACAATACATAATGATTCATAATGATCCTTGTGTAGTCAAAAATAACATCAATAATTTTGGAATCTATAGCCTCTGCCTGAGGTCATACTGATATTAGAATATTAACAATATAACATTGTCAATAATAATAGAATATTTTGTAATGTAGAGTGTATCCTGTGTATACCGTTGATGTTATAAACGGAAAAGCGGTAGGCCATGTTGGCCATGTTTGTCTCTTGTCTGAGAGGTGCTTTCTGCACCTTCTCTGGTCTCCCATCATCTAGACTCTAAAGACGACAAGACAGAGAACAAAAGAGTGATGAGACTTCACATATACAGTAGTTTCACCTGTGTCAGTACTGTTAATAAAACTGTAGAGGGATTTCAGGACTGTCTGATTAATTTAGAAAAATACAGATTATCACTGATGCAATTCAGAAAAATAAAGATTATCACTTATGTCATTCATTCCTTAATACATTTAGTAAAATCAGATCCAAAGCAAGCACATCCACAGAAAACCAATATGTTGCTCAAATTGGGTGCTCAACAAAGAAATTAATAAAAAAAGTAGGAAAAAAAGTCGTAGACTCCCTGGTGGTAACGTTTCGAGCACGTAAGCTCTTCGTCAGACATTTTGTTGCATAACATTAAAAACTAATAAAAGAAGCTTAAATAGTAAACCAAAATGCATCTATGAGGAAACTGCACGAAACAAGTTAATTGTAAGATCGACAGATTCTTCACGCTGCTTAAAGCCTCATGAGTTGTGACATCACAGATGTAATCTATACTGACAAACATGACATGTATGAAATTATTAGCTTCACTGCACCTACAGGATACGAATTTACAGGTTACAGGTCTCTCAGCCTCACCTTTGTGAGTTTGTCGAGCTCTCCGAGCCATGCTCCAAACATTTTGTCCAGGTCCTGGTCCTCTTTATCGCTGTCCTCCTCTGCAGCGTGATCTAGCTCATCATCTGAAAACTGCTCCATCTGAAACAGAGCACAGGACTGCTCAGAATTCATGGGAAATTAGACTTTCAAAAGGTGATTTAGTCTATTTTAATCGCTTCCGTAGACATCAGTGTTTTTCCAAACTAGTTGTTCTGTCATAATATTAATATTTGTAATACAGAAATAATGATACTGTGATGTTGAAAAGACAGTTTGTGAAGCTGTTTAAAACATATAGATCATGGACGTTTCCTACGGGGAGGCAAGGGAGGCAGTGCCTCGTTAAAAAAATGGATGAGAAATAATCCAAATAAACGAAAATATTACAAAATGTGACATTAAGTAAATTAACACTGTCCAACAGCAACAGCAGCAGGTAGAGTTACAGCGGGAGTCCGCGTCTCTCTTCTAAAAATCAATTGCCTCCCCTGAGCCCATTGATTTTTAACAGACCCCCTAAATCATTCGGTGGGTTTGGCGGGGGGTGATTGAGAATGAATGGGGGAAAGTCAATGCCTCCATCGCGCTGATTGGATATGACTGGTTTTAACTGGTTTGTGTGATAAATCCCGCCTCTTGTTTTCGTGCGTGTTAGCGAATTAACTGAATGAACACAATTATGCCATTAATGGGAGGACCAATTAAAAAGTAAGTAAACAACTCAGCCACTTAGATATCACCGCGTTATGTCACGTCAGAATCAAACTTGAAATGGCTGAAAACATGATAACTGGGGGTTTTAGTGAGCAACCAGCTTGGTGAAAGCTGTACATGTTTCAGAAAAAAATAAAAAATAAAAAGCACTGTCTATCAATGAACATTTGACAGTCGAAAAATTTGACATATGAACCTAAAACATGCTGCTTTCATTGGGCTCTAATGCACATGCGTTACTAAAGCCTGAGATTTCATGATCACACACTGCCCTCTGCTGGCCATGAGGACACATACAGCCTGATAATGCATGACAGACTGCACAAATTAATGTTACTCAAGGCCAATGTTGTCACTACTGTAAATTATGAAGTTCTTATGTAACATCACAAGCCCGAGTTTTCTTTGATCTCAGCACTCAAAGTATGAAAGATTTATCGATAACAAGAATCCCATCCTGTAGAATCTAACACTAAGCAGGACAGATGGAGACCTGGTGTGTGTGATGTACACATCTGAATATATCAGTGTCTTATCATCATGTTTATATCAGATGGTTTGGAAATCATCCTCTCCCGTTGTAAATGGTTTTGGCAAGCTTAGCAACAAGACATTTCAATGGCTGTTATTACACAGAGCCATTAAAAGTCTCCAGTGTCTAATGTTTCTGTACCACACATCAACCCTCATATGATAACACACACTTTAATAAGTAGTTTCACGTTTATCTGCTAGCCTCAATGAACAAAATAAGCACTGTGTTACACTGTGCGTAACAGAATGAGAGTAATCCTCTTACGTTATTAAAATTCCTCTCAGGTACTTTGGTCTGAAAATTTCCCGTCACTGGTGAGGAAACCTCGTGGACCGACTGTACCAGGGCACAGAAATCTCCAACGTAACCATGTTACGGGGAAAAAAAATAGACATGGGCTTTTTACAGTAGTTTTGTTGGAACAGTTTCCAAGCCAGTCGTTCTGAAGCCAGCATTCCATAGGTTATGTACGATATGCAGGGGGGGGGGGGTCATTTGCAATCTGGCAACCCTGTAATTGTGGGTCAGTCTTTCTCAAACATGCAGAAGGAAACTGGCCAGTGGGATGATGAAGTGCGAGCCAGATGTTCCAGAGTATAGATCTTCATCAGAACAGCCGGCAAGATCATTAGAGATGGGGACCAGAGACCACCGCAAATGTCTTAAACACACCAGCACAGCTGAAGAATTATCAACATCACTACATGTCCAAAGACCACAAAAAAATCTACTATATTTTGATGCTATCATTGTACAGTGATGGTATCATAAATCATAATACCATGGTATTTTGATGTTCATCACGGTTCAAAAGTTTGGGATCGATAAGATTTTATGTTTTTGAAAAAAGTATCTTATGTTCACCAAGGCTGAATTTGTTTGATCAAAAGTACAGTAAAAACAGTAATATTGTGAAAAAATATTACAATTTAAAAGAACTGTTATCTATTTAAATATATTTTACAGTGTAATTTATTCCTGTGATGACAAAGCTGAATTTTCATCATCATTACTCCAGTCTTCAGTGTCACATGATCCTTCAGAAATCATTCTAATATACTGATTTGCTGGTCAAGAAACATTTATTATTATTATCAATGTTGAAAACACTTGTGCTGCTTCATATTGTTGTTTCCATTAGAGCAGTATTTATTTGAAATTTAAATACATTTAGAATGTTACAAAATATTTATATGTTATTTTTGGTTCATATACATTTACATTTAATCATTTAGCAGACGCTTTTATCCAAAGCGACTTACAAATGAGGAGAGCAATAGAAACAGTTAAACTAACAATTGAACAACAATATGTAAGGGCTGTGACCCTTCCCAGTTTGGTCTTTTTATTCATTTTTTTTTATTAAACAGATATAGAGTAAAAGAGAAGAGAAAAGAAAAGAAAGTGTTAGTATTAATGGATCAAGTGTTGCCGAAAATGCGTCTTCAGCCGTTTTTGAAAATGGCTACGGACTCATTCCACCAGCATGGAACAGTCAAGGTAAAGGTCTGTGAAAGTGATTTTGTGCCTCTTTGAGATTACACCACGAGGCGACATCTCCATTAAAAAAATAATAATAATAATTTTTAAGTCCAAAAAGTTAAGGTATATGTTCATCTTATACAGTATAAGAACTGTCAGCTCATATCGGGGTTTATTCCAGCCTGGGTCAAATAACAACCTTATTCCTCCTCTCGTCCAGTCTCTACTTTTCTGTAAATGCAGTCTAAAAAGCCCCCTAAAGCCTCAAATATAGAGTAACTGGTTCATGCTAAATTCTAAACACATCGGTCTCAAGTTTCTGGAAAGTTTTCAGATTCAGATTCCACTTCTCGCATGTCCTCTTGGCTCGTTTCCGCGGCCCAGATCTTCCGAGCTATATCAGCAAATGTTTATGTTTAATCTGTGGAGAGAGAGAGAGTGAGCGAAACCAGGGAGAGAATTAAAGGGAAGCGTTTCGAGGAGCTGTGCTACAATTAGCTCCCTGCGGTTAGCAGCCCTGTGATTTGGGCCTGGACTGGCAGGCCCGGGGTGTGGGCCGCTCTGCGTACGGTACAGACACCCAAAGTGTGGTCCTTGCTGACACACACACTGGAAAAAGAGCGAGTGAGTATGCGTGTGTACATGTGACAACAACATCATCACCAGAAGGTCTGTGATCGCACGTGCTGCGAAGTCATGCCACGGCAGTCTAGTCTATTAGATGCTGGACCGGATTGCTTGGCTCGCACCTTGTCCGTTTTATGCAGATCCCGTCTGGAGAGACAGCGGCCACGTGTAGCGTCAAGCCTGCAGAGGAGGCATCTGTTTCCCATCACTGCCTTACACATTCCACACACAGCAAGCTATTCGCTCTGATGGAGTAAAGCAGGCGCTCCTGTTGCCTCCTACACGGGAGAGCTAGCAGCGGTAATACTTATTAAAAACAGCAACATGTGTCCTACCAACACTGCCACGCTCTCGCTGGGTTCACATTCTGTGAGCTTCTTGATTCCTATTTCAGATCCCTTCAACATAATTATCATCAAAAGAGATTTTAAAACAAGCTACTGCAAGTGCACCATTACCTTGATGCGTCAACTAGAAACAATGATGATTTCAGGGTGCTGCCGTATTTTCCGGAAAATAAGCCACACTGGGTCAAAATGTTGAGAGAGAGAAAAAAACATTTCGTATAAGTCACATTACATTCAGAAAAATCATAAAATACCTGTAAACAAAACACTATAAACATGTGTTTTAGTTCTCGCTACTTCACAACAGATCCTTTCAATTTAACAGTATTCAGAACAGAACAGGAATGAAAAACATAAGGACAAATTATAGTGACATTGATCATAAACAACATTTATTATAAACGCCAAACCTAAACTGGAACTACCGGTGAGTGGGAAAATATCTTTGGCTCATTCGGCATGAATCCAAATGTGCACATGTTTTATGTGCTTAATTGCATTATATAAGTTGCTTTAGAATGCAAGTTGCAGCATGTTTCGGATGATTTTTTTTTACTTATATTCCGGAAAATACTGTACTTGATGGGTTGTTGTCGATGAGTATCTAGTTCAGGGGTGTCCAATCCTGGTCCTGGAGGCCCAAGGTTCTGCAGAGTTTATCTCCGACTTGTCTCAACGCACCTGCCTGAAGGTTTCTAGTAATCCTGAAGAGTTGCTGATTCAAGTGCATTTAATTGGGGTTGGAACTGAACTATGCAGGAGAGTGGCCCTCCAGGAGCAGGATTGGACACCCCTGGTTTGGTTACTGAAGAGGGCTACCGTACCGATACTACAATGGTGTCAGATGCTGTACTAATGACATGGATCAGCATGATCATCTCTGAGTTTAATGTCAATTACACTGATACTAGTGAGTTTTAGAGCTTTAGTTTATCTGTCCAACAACAACAAAAAGCAACTTGGGCATGACCACTCTATCATCAAATCTTTCCACCTTATGTATGGTCTTTCTGTTTGGCTTCAGATTTTTCTATTTCTTCGGCCATACAGGTATGATTTTCCATTGGTAAAGCACTATAATAAGTGTTTGTGATTGTCTAATTTTAGCTCTTCGCATCACCAAACAACACAGCATTACTAGCGTGTCTATAGACACGGCAGCGATTCTCTATGACGTTTAGTGGAGCACCACAGGTCCACACATCAAATTCAACATGGTGTAATACATTGAGGGGGCGACCTGCACTATACATAATTAAAATAGAATAATAGTTTTTGGAATAATAAAAATATATATATATACATAATATATATGAGTACAGTCTTTATCTCATGAGAGTGTCACCATTTAAATGACGGAAGACAAAAACACAATTTAAATTCTAAATTTGTAA